ACGTTGTTACAAACGTGAAAAAAGAAAGAACGTCGTGGTTACGTTGTGTGTTGGTAATTACCGCTTTTTGAACAGAGAACTGAAGAACAAAAAGAACACACGGTCGGAGACCTGATGGGGGATCTCACCCGTGTTCAAGTCAAGGACTGTGATGAAGAACACTGGTGTTCATAAGAACATAAGAACATAAGAACAAAGGCAACTGCAGAAGGCCTGTTGGCCCACACGAGGCAGCTCCTATTTATAACCACCCAATCCCACTCATATACTTGTCCAACCCGCGCTTGAAACAATCGAGGGACCCCACCTCCACAATGTTACGCGGCAATTGGTTCCACAAATCAACAACCCTGTTACTGAACCAGTATTTACCCAAGTCTTTCCTAAATCTAAACTTAAAGATGAGTGTTCTGATGAGACTAGGGATTCTTTGGATTAACCGGAATGGGGTTAAATCCTATTCCTGGGAATCCACTTTAGTGAAATCTAAGTAAATTAGATTTAGTGATAATGTGAAAGATAAATCAAGTCTCTCAATATCAACGCTCTGAGACAATCAGTGAGAACACTGACGGAAGCAAGGATGTACCTTGGCGTGAAGCAAGGATGTACCTTGGCGTGAAGCAAGGATGTACCTTGGTGTGAAGCAAGGATGTACCGAGGCGTGAAGCAAGGAAGTACCTTGGCGTGAGTTTGCTGTTGATAACTGTACATGTTTGATGTGAAGTGCTTCTGCTATATCTAATCTCTTAATAATCACCCTAGTTAGTGAATTGTTATGTGGTTAAGTGGCTTCCACTGAGGCCAACCTTTGCAGCATAAAACGAAGGAATTAATGATTTAACTAGGGGGGGGGGGTTAGCACTGACTAATGAAATTGGATATTAACACTAATGACTCCCGTGTGTTGGTTAATGACCATCTCTCTCACCTAGGTGATCCAAGCCGGCCAAATGGGGGTTATAGACCTGTTGTTATTGATGAAGATTCACGGGGGAGACATCTCCCGTCACGCAGGGTGCAGTCGCACCTCCACAGATCTCCAGTATCAGCTATTGATACTGGTAATGGCTCAAAAGGGCCACCACTTACGGGCTATTCATGCCCGTGCCACCTTTTGGGTGGCTTAATCTTCATCAATCAATCGATGAAGATTACGCCACCACAGGAGGCGGCACGGGCATGAGTAACCCCCGTAGGTGGTAGGTGTTTGGCGGGAATGTTGTCTTTGGTGGTGTGACATCTTGAAGTGTCACTCTGGGTCACTGAGGGATAAGCCACTAATCTCACCTCTTCAACTAAGCGTGTTAAGGGCAGACCAAGCACTTCCTGTCCACCATCTGGTCACCATTTGGTCCGGGAGACATCTCCCGTCACGCAGGGTGCAGTCGCGCCTCCACAGATCTCCAGTATCAGCTCTTGATACTGGTAATGGCTCAAAAGGGCCACCACTTACGGGCTATTCATGCCCGTGCCACCTTTTGGGTGGCTTAATCTTCATCAATCACTTCCTGTCAGTGTAACAAGGTCATAACTCTACATAAGAACGTTGATAAGGATTGAATGTTTATCGTCTTGGTCTAAGGATCGAACACGACGCATGTAATACAAAAGATACAGAAACATACGTTAACAAATAAATAAAGTACATGCAATATATGACAGCTAGATGTTTCTCGAGTGAACATTTCAACCAGCAGAATACCTCAACACCTCACTGATCACTTGTGGAGTGTTCACCAATTTCCACCTTGTAGTAGTCTCGAATCACATTGTCAGTAGTCAAAGTCTTGGGAGTTAAAATGAGCTTTAATGATTACAAGCATTTATCTACTTCATGTTACGTCAAGCTGATGAAGGCAAGTTGTCTAAGCAGCTTGTAGAGTGCCTAGTCGAGCTCCTGTCTAATCTGAAGCCCTCCTTCAAATTAGACAGGAGAGACTTTAGATTACACCTGCTTCATCACACCATGTTAGAATATGCCAATATTCCTATTTGCACAAGCGAGTGTAGGCGTGTATGAGCTGTATAAGCCGAGGGAAGCAAGGGTGTGCGTAGGTCCACCTTGGAGGTTCCTTGGAGGTCGTACGTAGGCAGCGATGGTGGGTAGGTCTGGTAGGAATGGTGGGTAGGTCTGGTAGCCATGGTGGGTAGGTCTGGTAGCCATGGTGGTGGTCAGAAACGTCATGGTAGGCGCCAGGGAGGGCAGGAAGCTCTGTAGTCTAGATGGTCCGTACCTGTAACACACACACATACTTTAACAGTCCATAAGTCCGTGCCAACAACATACCCACATCCTTCAACAAGTCAGAAGTCCGTGCCAACAACATACCCACACACTTCAACAAGTCAGAAGTCCGTGCCAGCAACATACCAATACACTTCAACAAGTCAGAAGTCCGTGCCAGCAACATACCCACACACTTCAACAAGTCAGAAGTCCGTGCCAACAACATACCCACACACTTCAACAAGTCAGAAGTCCGTGCCAACAACATACCCACACACTTCAACACGTCAGAAGTCCGTGCCAGCAACATACCCACACACTTCAACAAGTCAGAAGTCCGTGCCAACAACATACCCACATCCTTCAACAAGTCAGAAGTCCGTGCCAACAACATACCCACATACACAACAGTCCAGAAGCCCGTATGAGCGACATATCGTTACGATTGTAGTCTCGTTAATTATCTTTCATTTGCCCGCCTTTTTGCGTTTACTTGGCGGCCCAGTGATCGTATATTTTTCAAGCAGAACAAGGCAAGTTGCTTGGTTTAGGAGAAAGTAAAATTTCAAGTTTTGAGGCTTTTTCAATATGGCGGGTGTAGCGCCGCTGATTGGGAGCAGATTTCCGCGCAAGGCCAGGGGCCAGATTCACGAAAGAACTTACGCAAGCACTTACGAACGTATACATCTTTCCTCAATCTTTGACGGCTTTGGTTACATTTATTAAACAGTTTACAAGCATGAAAACTTCCCATTCAACTGTTGTTATTGTTATAAACAGCCTCCTGGTGCTTCGGAGCTCATTAACTGTTTAATAATTGTAAACAAAACCGCCAAAGATTGAGAAAAGATGTACAGGTTCGCAAGTGTTTGCTTAAGTGCTTTCGTGAATCTGGCCCCAGGACGCTGGGACCAGGATGAGAAGAGGGAAGATGATTGGTTGCAGTAGCTTGAAGTAACCAATCGACGGGTGGCCTGATGTCACGTGACACTGAGAGGCGGCAATGTGACGTCTCATTGGTGTCGAACCAGCCCGTCCTCTTAAGGTTTCCCAGCGTCAAAAACACGTTAAATTTAAAGTGTCCTATTCTAACCTACCAGAGGACCCAAAACAGAAAACGGGACAGTACATCATGTATAGAGGGACCTGCAGCAGGAATCTGGAAGTGGTGGACGGACCCCACAACGCCACAGAGGCTGTGAAAGTTTACGAAAGTTTACGGGGTATCCTAGCCTCGCCAGGTACATGGCGAGTGTACAACGGGCAGTGAGAGCAGAGCTTTGAGGATGGTTCAGTGAGCACTGAGTGAGTGAGCTCTATACCCAGTCTGAAGTGTCGTTAGCGACGCCCCGAGGGGTAGTTATGGCGCCTGAAAGTTCTCCTTGACTTAGAGCTCCTCATTCTTCTCCAACAACATCCGGAGATTTCCGGTGTGAGTCAGAAATGCATATATACAACATACCCACAAATACAGCCAACCACCCACACTCTGTCTCTCTGTCTATCTGTGTCTCTCTCTCTCTGTGTCTCTCTCTCTGTGTCTCTCTCTCTCTGTGTCTCTCTCTCTCTGTCTCTCTCTCTGTCTCTCTCTCTTCTCTCTCTCTCTCTCTCTTCTCTCTCTCTCTCTCTCTCTCTCTCTCTCTCTCTCTCTCTCTCTCTCTCTCTCTCTCTCTCTCTCTCTCTCTCTGCTCTCTCTCTCTCTGTCTCTCTCTCTCTCTCTCTCTCTCTCTCTCTCTGTCTCTCTCTCTCTCTCTCTCTCTCTCTCTCTCTCTCTCTCTCTCTCTCTCTCTCTCTCTCTCTCTCTCTCTCTCTCTCTCTCTCTCACTCTCTCTCTCTCTCTCTCTCACTCCCCCGTACTGACCTGGGGGTTGACCTGGGTGTAGACGTTGTGCTCGAGGCCGGTGAACCTGGTGCTGACCACACGACAGGTGTAGCTGCCGTAGCTCTGCTGGGTCACCTGCTGGATCATCAAGTCCCCGGTGGTCAGCACCTGTAACACGCGCACTCTTAGCGGCAGGGACGGAGGCAACTATCAGGGCAGAACACCAAGCCACTGCGACTATATAGCACTGGGATGGGGTCAGCATTTGTGACGGGGGGGGGGGGGGGAATGGTGCCCCAGCCACTTGGACGGTCGGGGATTGAACGCCGACCTGCATGAAGAGAGACCGTCGATCTACCGTCCAGCCCAAGTGGTTAGGTTACCTGGTAGACACTGTGAAAGGTAGATTTAGGTTACTTGACAGTTACGGCGAGAGTCAATAAGCTTCCCTGGTAGTTACTGTGAGAGGTAGTTAACTAACCTGGTAATTAGGGTGGGCGGAGGGAAGAGGAGAGTTGTTGAAGTACCAGACATGGCGGGTGTAGAAGCCCTGGGACCTGCAGGGGAGGGTGAGGGCGGCGCCCACCTCCGCCCGCGCCTCTAGCGAGTACTGGAAGATCCTGGGCAAGTTGTTGACCACCGCGGTGCTGTACCTGCACGTCTGGCCCTGCTGGCCCTGGCCTGCTCCCACCAGGGCAGGGAGACGGGCAGGGGGAAGGGAGAGAGGGAGAGGGGGGGGGAAGGGAGAGGGGTAGGGGGAGGGGAGAGGCGGGGGGGGAGGGAGAGAGGCAGGGGGAAGGGAGAGAGGCAGGGGGAAGGGAGAGGGAGAGGGGGAAGGGAGAGAGGCAGGGGGGGGAGGGAGAGAGGCAGGGGGAAGGGAGAGAGGCAGGGGGAAGGGAGAGGGAGAGGGGGAAGGGAGAGAGGCAGGGGGAAGGGAGGGCGCAAGAGAAGGGGAATGTTGGGGGCGGGGGGAGGGGATAGAAAAACAGGGAAGGAAGTGTGGGATGACGAAAGGGTAATAGAGGTGTAGTGGAGAGGGAGAAGATAGAAAAATTAAGTTTATATATATATATATATATATATATATATATATATATATATATATATATATATATATATATATATATATATATATATATATATATATATATATATATATATATATATATATATGTCAATAAAGGTGTGCTTGTAACATTTATAAATACTTTTAATTTATGGTAATAACTACATTACGTCACTATCGCAGCTGGTGGCACTAATCACCCCCCAAATGGCACTAATCACCCCCAAATGGCACTAATCACCCCCCAGCTGGTGGCACTAACCACCCCCAGCTGGTGGCACTAACCACCCCCCAGCTGGTGGCACTAACCACCCCTCAGCTGGTGGCACTAACCATCCCCAGCTGGTGGCACTAACCACCCCCCTCAGCTGGTGGCACTAACCACCCCCAGCTGGTGGCACTAACCACCCCCCAGCTGGTGGCACTCACCACCCCCCAGCTGGTGGCATTAACCACCCCCCAGCTGGTGGCACTAACCACCCCCAGCTGGTGGCACTAACCACCCCCCAGCTGGTGGCACTAACCGCCACCAGCTGGTGGCACTAACCACCCCCCAGCTGGTGGCACTCACCACCCCCCAGCTGGTGGCACTAATCACCCCACCAGCTGGTGGCACTAACCACCCCCCAGCTGGTGGCACTAACCACCCCCAGCTGGTGGCACTAACCACCCCCTCAGCTGGTGGCACTAACCACCCCCCTCAGCTGGTGGCACTAACCACCCCCCAGCTGGTGGCACTAACCACCCCCAGCTGGTGGCACTAACCACCCCCAGCTGGTGGCACTCACCACCCCCCAGCTGGTGGCTCTAACCACCACCAGCTGGTGGCACTAACCACCCCCAGCTGGTGGCACTAACCACCCCCTCAGCTGGTGGCACTAACCACCCCCCTCAGCTGGTGGCACTAACCACCCCCCAGCTGGTGGCACTCACCACCCCCCAGCTGGTGGCACTAATCACCCCCACCAGCTGGTGGCACTAACCACCCCCCAGCTGGTGGCACTAACCACCACCCAGCTGGTGGCACTAACCACCACAACTGGTGGCACTCACCTGTAATCTGGAGGGTAAAGTTACGGAAGACGACCTGGTTGTTGGGAGTGGTGACCTCTAGGCTGTAGTCCGCCTGGGGGGGGGGGGGGGAGGGATATGGCAATTAGCTGTTACTCTTTTGTAATCACCGCCCCACGTTGGGCGGCATAGCTTTGGGGGGGATAGAAATAGCCTAAGCTACTCTATCCCTTTGAGATGTATTTCTTGCTTATCTCAATAAACATACTTGGATTGAATCACCATAATCACCTCAAGGCAATTATCTAATTACCTTAAGGCAAGGTAATCCTAATTCCCTGCACCTTAATTCCTCCATTTTTGCGCCCTCTTAATAAATAGTTAAATTGTTTAGCTAGATATAATTAATACATTTTTGCATTCAATTCCATGACTTTTTCAGCTAAACTGATTTTCCCATTTACTGTTCAAGGTGTGGGATAAGGCTTGCTAGCTCTGCTTCCCTGTTTACTATCATGACTACGCCTCAAGCCTCAGAATAACTGTATAATTTGCATACAATTGTGTGCCTGATTATTGCTAATTCTTTCGATATTCGCTAGGAATATGTTGTTGTTCAAGATTCGCTACCTGGAACAAAAAGTTCCAAGTAGCACGGGCTATGGTGAGCCCGTATCCGCTAGGAATAGCTTTGCTAATTTCATCGTGAACATACAATTGGTTAATATACTGCTTCCATGCAAATAATTACAATTATGCAAAGTGATAGTGAATGTTTAGTGGTCTTATTTATATTATTTTTCGTGTTGAAAGGTCAATACTTAATTTGAAAAACATATGTAAATTATGTTATAGGTTAATGTGCTGTCATTTTGTAGCAGAAAATTTAGGCTATTGTTTTCACACGAATAACTACTGTTTTGTGGGTTGCGTAATCTTATACAGTAGTGTAATAGCTTATAAACAACCTGTGTAAATATTTTCCACACAATAAGACTTAGTTATTAATTCAAGTGTGAGAAGAGTGATCTGTTCTAGACAATTCCGTTGAATATCCAGACATCAGCTGTTGCAATAATGCCGGTTTTACATCAGTTTAAACAACTTATAGATACAAGCGTTTACAATTAAATGGCATTGGGTATGCAAATGTGTTTAAATGGTAGGACTTTACTTGATGTAGATTGTTAATGCTTTATTATTGTAATTGAGAAGTTTGGATACCTGTGACTGGTCGGGTAAATCTAGACGTGGCAACACCCAGTGAGGGCGGCCGACATGCCCGCCTGAACCAACCAGTCAGTAGTGTCTGAGGACTTGCAACGTGTGGACGTACTGACGTGCTCGGCTCGTAATTGCCTAAGTAATTTCAATTTTGTTTTGTTTAAGTAGTGATTAAAGAGTCGGGTATTCTTTGAGTTATGAGTTATTATTTATATGAAACCATACACTGATTAATCATGAAATATTAATTATTTGTTGTATTAAATACCTTGTTTCAGTCCGTTTGACTCTAAGGCTCAGTCTTAACTGGAAGCTCTTGATTAATTACTTTAATTGCCTTGTGAACTCTTCGTTCCTCAAGACGCTAAACAGGACATTAATAACATCAAGATAATACTTGTTACGTTCCCGTATATTCCTATCTATCTCCCTATAACATTGTTTACCCATTAATGGTTAAACTCAAGTCTTTATCTAATGGTTTACATTACTCTTGAACGCGGCTTGTAAGGTTACCAACATTCAACGAAGAATTTAATTGGGAAAGGCCAATTTGGGGCTGATGTTTACTGTTGACAATTAGCAGGCAACAACACTATATCTGTACTCACCTAGTTGTGTTTGCGGGGGTTGAGCTCTGGCTCTTTGGTCCCGCCTCTCAACTGTCAATCAACAGGTGTACAGGTTCCTGAGCCTATTGGACTCTATCATATCTACATTTGAAACTGTGTATGGAGTCGGCCTCCACCACATCACTTCCTAATGCATTCCATTTGTCAACCACTCTGACACTAAAAAAAATTCTTTCTAATATCTGTGGCTCATTTGGGCACTCGGTTTCCACCTGTGTCCCCTTGTGTGTGTGCCCCTTGTGTTAAATAGCCTGTCTATCTACCCTGTCAATTCCTCTGAGAATCTTGTACGTGGTGAACATGTCCCCCCTAACTTCTGTTTTCCAGCGAAGTGAGGTTTAATTCCCGTAGTCTTTCCTCGTAGCTCATACCTCTCAGCTCGGGTACTAGTCTGGTGACAAACCTTTGAACCTTTTCCAGTTTAGTTTATGGTGCCCCTGTACCAGTGATCTCTCTATCTCTCTATCTCTCTATCTCTCTATCTCTCTATCTCTCTATCTCTCTATCTCTCTATCTCTCTATCTCTCTATCTCTCTATCTCTCTATCTCTCTATCTCTCTATCTCTCTATCTCTCTATCTCTCTATATCTCTCTATCTCTATCTCTATCTCTATCTCTATCTCTATCTCTATCTCTATCTCTATCTCTATCTCTATCTCTATCTCTATCTCTATCTCTCTCTATCTCTCTCTATCTCTCTCTATCTCTCTCTATCTCTCTCTATCTCTCTCTATCTCTCTCTATCTCTCTCTATCTCTCTCTATCTCTCTCTATCTCTCTCTATCTCTCTCTATCTCTCTCTATCTCTCTCTCTCTATCTCTCTCTCTCCGTCTATCCATATTCTGAATTAACCCAGTAAGAGGTAAATCAATAACTCGAGACGTTCTTGTCAAAATATTCGTCTCACTCACCCAAACAGGTGATTTATTAGTTTTAAACAGCAACTGTGTAATAATTCAACCTGTCCTCTTACAAAGAACGTCGCATTTCGAGCGTATGCGTTACATAAGGCCAAACATTATCGTACTAGAAAATGGAAGCGATTCACAAAAGTGACGTACTGTCCCGTTTTCTGTGTTCTCTGGTAGGTTAGGAGAGGGCACTTTAAATTTACCGTTTTCTTAACGTTGGGAAACCCTAGGACAGGCTGCATTATTCCCATTATCGGGGGACAGGAAGCCTGTACTTTGGTTTTCGAGGTCACCATTAGGCCAAATACTGACGTTCCCCCAGGGTGCAACCCACAACAGTTGTGTAAGTCTCGGGTAACCATTTTACTGTTAGGTTAACAGAGGCATCAGGTAGCAGGAAACGTTGCCCGAACCCCACAGAGTGCACCAGTACCCACAGTCCGTCAGCACTGTGTACTCTCCTGGTGGTCAACGAGTGTTTGTACACACAACTCTCGCTCCTGGCCAGTGTTGGACCCCGTCACCACCTGGGGGTAACCACTAGTAAAACCAAAATTGGGCATAAGGCAGCCACAGCCGAGCTTCAGCTCCTGGGCCAGCCTCAGCAACTAGCGTCTGAATCTATTACGTCCAAATATGGCCATAGTGCGCATACGAGCCAAAAGTGACGTTATTTTTAAGAGGACGGGCTGATCCCAGCGGTACAATAATTCTACACAAGACTGACGTAACTTGTTTTCTGTTTGTTAAATCCATGTATGTTTTGTTATGAAGTGTTTGGATAGGCTTTGTTAATCTGTTAAGTTTGCCTGGGTAAGGTTAGGCTAGGTTAACTTACCACGTCCTGGGCGTCGACACAGTCAATGTAGACGAGGGAGACGAAGTGCAGCCTGGCAGACAGGGCCTCGTCCACCGACGAGAGCGCAGAGCCCTGGTACTCCACCATGTTAGTGTGCTCTTCCAGGGCCTCCTGTCGTGAGAGGGCTTGGCTCACCTCCTGGGCGGCTCCCTAGTATCCAGCAAGCAGGCAACACCAGCCAGTATTGAAAGCAAGACAAGTGGATTAGTAACTTCTTACTGGACATTCCAGCTGGAAATGTGGAATGCTCAGAGAGGTCGTAAGGCAATTAAACATGAGAAAGCGCTAAGACAGACGTACTACAGGTTGTTAATTACCTAGGACAACAATTAGTATTGATATCGATTACGGAGGGATCACATATAGCTCTTAGCTTCCTCCTACGGGGGGGGGGGGGGGGGTCTCACCTGACGCAGCAGAGGAAAGTTGTTCTTGTACCAGGTGAGCTGAGTGCCTGAGGGTGCTAGCAGGTTGCAGCGAAGGGCAGCATCCTGCCTCTCCGTCACATAGGCCAGTCTTGGTGAACAGTCTTGCAGCCAGATTACATCTGTGGTGGTGATCCCAGTCTGGGATGTGCCTGTGGGTTGTGGTTGGGGTGAGTGGTGGTAGGTAGTGGTGGAGGGTTGGTCATGGTGCTGGAGGGATGGACAGTGATGGGTGATGGTCATCGGGGGCGAGTGGGGATCAGTGATTATGGTAAGTGGAAGTGAACTGGTGGTTGATTAAGCCACCCAGGAGGTGGCACGGGCATGAATAGCTCGTAAGTGGTATTTTTTTATATAAATGTATACAGTGTGTTGAGGTCGCATTTAATCGTCAGGCTGCTATCGCGGGGGAGGATACGGCTTGGCAGTATTTGAGGGTGTCCAGCTGCTGGACACCTTTTTTGACCAGGAGAGTGGCAGTAGTGATGGATTCAGGGTGGTTACTGCAATATTCAGGTACTCTTAAAGCTCTTCTAAGGTCGTTGGTTGCTTCACATTCCAGGAGATAATGAAGTAGTGGCTTTTCTGTGATTGTTTGACAGAAGATGCATTCTCTGTCTGGGTTCAATCTCCAAGTTGTATCTGTAACCTAGACGTAGTTTATATAATCGAACTGCTTTCCCTGTGGATTCCTTTTGGGATATTTAACCTTTCTAACTTGGTGGCCTGAAGATACCATACTGCAGAGGGGGAACCTTCTGCAACTCTCTGGTGTAGATGGCTTTGTTGAGGTGAGAGATCGGCCTGGATCAATACTTAATCGTCCCGGCCTGGAGATCAGATGGCACTTCTTACTTCCCCTTGACCCATGGAAGGATGGCAATTCCGTTGATCCATGGAAGGAAGAAGCCTCGATAGCTTGAGATTTTAAGTTCTAATCCGTCTCGAAGCAAGCGCTCTTGTAGTTTCAGGATGTCTATGCCTTTGGTTGCTGCTGTGCATTACAGGTGTTGCAATTTTGTGCGCAGCCCTTGCGCATTCCATTGCAGGATCTTTAGTTCTCTAGGTTGTTGGAACTTGCTGATATTACCGTGGTATCCATGGAGTCAGGTGAACTCGCCATGGAAGTTGAAATTGGAGTTGAGGATCTTGGTGTACTTGAAACTGACTCATCAAAGTTGCCTTCTGATGTATTGGACTCTGCCTGTTTTTTTAGGAATGTTCCCTGCCCCGTGTTCTTGAAGGTGAGGATATTGTTTTTCGAATTTCTTTAGCTTATGTTCAATTGTCTTTAGTGTGTGTGGTTTGTTTTGTACTGTGTTTCGACAGCAAACTTTCGACCAGCTCCGTGACAAAGGCCTTAAGCATTGGCCAGAGGGTGTCCAGTTGTTCGGGAGCACTACTTACTGCTGTGCTGATTTGGGGCCGATTTACTCTCTGGCTCTTATCAGTGGAAACTCGGACACTCTTTCCATCATTGCCCCAAGTGTGCTTACAGGATGCAATGTGCGGGCGATTACGTTGAACTATTTTCTTGTGTGGCCGATGGTGGAGGGCCATGTGCTCCCTCCACTTGGTTTAGTCCACTTGGCCTACAGTTTAGACCTATTGTCTTATGTATGACCCTCTGTACAGTGACTCCACGATTAGGCTGTTCTTGTGAGCAGGGGAGCTGGTATATGTTTTGGTTAAGGCTTCTGTTCTGTTTAAGGCGTGGGAGGAGGGAGGGGAAGGGGGGGGGGGTTCGTTTGGATCCTTTTAAGCATTTTAAGACATCTTAAGTTCCAGTCGTGGTGTCATGACAGGCTGATTAGCCTTATCATGGCATATTTTCGAACCGTGAGGCTGGCTACAGACTCCACACCTCGCTGGCAGCCGTCCTTGTGGTGTGAACTGGTTGTCGTTTTATATGGCGGTGGTGGTTGTGGTGGAGGGGTGGTAGTGGGCAGTGATTGGTTGTAGTAGTGGTGTGTGGTGACGAATGGTTGTCGGGTGGTAGTAAACTGGTGGTGTTAATTGTCACTTTTATGGCAATATTAAAGTCAAAAATCTTTTTAAATATATCTTTCGAAATAACATCAGGTAAATGCCATAAGGCTGTTTTAGTGTTTCCAAACAAATCCGGATTCCCTTGGATCCGTACCTTTATTCTTACGAAAACGGCTAGACAGAAGGGGCCACAACGAGCCACACTAAGAGTCTGTAAATTCGACGTCATTTATTGCCACTGATTATTGTTTAAGATTTTTTTTAACCGTCACTTACGAATAACAAAAAAATGAAAAGAAATTTGAGGTAAGAATAGTGGAGAATCCGGTGGGTTGGGGTCAATACTCACGCTTGTTCTTCCTCATCTGTCAGTCATGTAATCAAAATAGTCTATTATTAAATTGGGAATATATATTATTAAATTGGGAATATATATTATTAAATTGGGAATATATATTATTGGGAATATATATTATTAAATTGGGAATATATATTATTAAATTGGGAATATATATTATTAAATTGGAAATATTATTAAATTTGATTTTTAAATTGAAATATAACTAGTTATTTTTTCTTACCGGAATTTTTAAGATCAATATGCTTGCTATTGTTTGTTTCAAGAAGTACTTTATATATTCTCGAGAAATTATATAGATATATGCATGCTTATTATTTGTACTTGTAGGATCGAACTGTTAGCTCTTGGACTCCGCCTTTCTAACCATCGATTGTTCAGTCTTTATAGTGTGCTGACTCCCGACTTTTTTTTTCTCAATCATATATCTTTTACATATTTCTCTCACGCATCCCTAGGATGCAGCTCGTAGAAGCTGTTTAACTCCCAGGTACCTATTTACTACTAGGTGAACATAGGCATACGGTGAAAGAAACGCTACCCATTTGTTTCTGCCTAAACCAAGAATCGAACCCGGATCCTTAGGACTACGACCCCAGAGCGCTGTCCACTTGGTTGCGAGGACCTTTAATGTGTGCACTCACCTAGTTGTGCTTACGGGGGTTGAGCTCTGGTTCTTTGGTCCTGCCTCTCGACTGTCAATCAACTGATGTACAGGTTCCTGAGTCTATTGGGGTCTATCATATCTACACTTGAAACTTTGTATGGAGTCTGCCATACACAGATCAAGGTAATTTTAAGATTCCTTGTATCTGGTCTCCTGCTCCCTACACCTATCTTCATTACAATACATTTGCTTGGGTTAAACTCTTAACAACCATTTGTTGGACCATTCCTTCAGTTTGCCCAGGTCTTTTTGAAGCCTCAAGCTGTCCTCCTATGTCTTAATCCTTCTCATAATTTTGGCATCATTAGCAAACATTGAGATTAATGAGTCTATACCATCTGGGAGATCATTTACGTATATCAGAAACAGGATAGGTTCAAGTAGTCCTGTGGTACTCCACTGGTGGCTTCATGCCACTCTGAGGTCTCACCCATCAGTGTAACTCTGCTTCCTATTGCTTAGGTACTCCCTTATCCACTAGAGCATCCTACCAGTGTGTGTGTGTGTGTGTGTGTGTGTGTGTGTGATAAAGTATATATACACGTACCTGAGATAAGGAGGAGATGAGGTCCTGGGAGAATGGAGAGCGAGCCTCAGATGACCACTCCCCCTGAGTGAAGACAACCACTAGGGAAGCCGCTACAACCCACACGCGAAGCATCATGTCTCTGTTGCCGAAAAATTAGATACAATATGATCTCTACACGAACAGAATAAGTTAAGTGTAAGCAGGATTTCATAAAATTATAACAATATGATTAATGTATGATCGTCAGTTGCGCGTCAGGCCAAGCCTAGCAAGAGAAAAAAAAATCGAATAACAGATTTCAAAATACGTTTGTAAAAGTTACTGTTTAGTAATGCCTCAAAACTAGGTCAGCAGAATTATAATTATGTAATCTTCTTTGATTTTATGTCATTTGATATCAGAGAGATAGTCACTGAGAGGTATACCCTGCTTCAAGGTGTGTATACGATGATGAGTTGACTTTCCTCGCAGCCTATGTCCAAGACTGCAGTATACTTGTTGGTTGATCAGTAAGCAATTGTGGCGCCTTAATAGCTCTCTAGAGCAAGGTTTCTTAACTAGGGGCATCTATACTCCTTGGGGTTATGGGAGCCCAACATAAAGTGGGCATAAGCTCATTTTTGAACAATTATTTAAAACAGTCGTATAATACGATACACTCCTTATGATTTACTTTCAGCTTTTGTTTCTAGCTAGCTTTAGGTAAATTAAAATCCAGCTATTGACATCTTTGGGAGTCATTTCGGCACCTAGTAAGACGAAGCGGCGGTGATGACCCCGACAGTCTGGCGAAGGGGGGGGGGGTTATGGGGACAAAATAGGGAATCCATTGGGGGTCTGTAATCGCAAAACAAAAGGTTAAGAACTGCAACAGAAGATGATTTAAGCCCGGCATCACGAAATTAGTTGTAATAATATTGCCAGCTTGTGTTGAAGTTAGTTTTGAAAACTTACAATGCAGCAAGCAAGCAGCAATTAGCTGCAAAGTATACTTGCAGCTGCAGAACACAGCAACACCTTACGGGCTCACCATAGCCCGTGCTACTTGGAACTTTTTGTTTCAGGTAGCGAATCTTAAACAAACAACAAGAAGCAACACCCCCCCCCATGTCGTAATTTTTGTAATTGTAATTTTTGTCCACTGCAGGACAAGGCAGCAAGGTTTCATGTTTACTAGGACCCAGGAGGCAGCGGGGCAGGTTCAGCTACGGGCTCACCATAGCCCGGGCTACTTGGGACTTTTGTTCCCAGTAGCTGAATCTAAAACAGCAACAACTAGGAGCCCCCATTACTTACCCTGGGAATGAGAGCAGAGGCGAGAGCTCAGCGTGCAGGAATATGGCGTGTGTGTGTGTGTACAGCGACCGTCGTCAGCGCCTTATATACCCATATCTCAGTCTTCCTGGCTATTGCGTAAATGACGCTATTGAATGTTATTTTCTAGATTATATGTTGCCGAACTTTTTCTGAATAAGTAATCAATCTCAAATCAGAGACGCCAGACTGTTTTTTTATATGAATAAGTTACATGGTGGAGGAGTGAGTATCCCCGACGCCTTGGAGACAGGCGACTGCTGAAGTGGCATGTATATTTACTGTACATATATGAATATGTGTAGGTACTTCATACAAATATGTAGTCTGCATATCTATATATAGTAAATACAAATATGTTTGTCTAGCTGTCTGTATGACTCGGAGTTTGGAGGCCAAACACCTTGGGGCTAACTTCACGCAATTTTTCCCATTAATTACTGTTGAGTATGTGTTGGGAATGGAATCAAAGAAGAGTGTCATATGACTGTGCCAACACGGCCCCTCCCCCCCCCCCCCGTCCTCAAGGAATCTACGCAATACCATTCTGATTTAGTATTGAATTCTTAATTTTTTTGGCCATACCATAAACTATATGTGCTAATCAGGCCAAAATTCAAACTGATAATCATAATGCTTATTATCCCTTTAAAATGGCAAAACTTTCATGATGGAGTTTTTCTTTCGATTTTATGGATTGTATAGCGTTTCCTAGTGTTAGAGATACTCTAGGAGAGAGGGACGATAGACACAGACCATGGCACCCATAGATAACCCCCCCCCCTTATCAAGTCCCCTTATCAAGTGTATAACTTGTTATATGCTAGAAAACTTGGAGCCTAGTTCCTTGCTATCCACTTTGACAGCTTAGCTTTTGATAACGTGGAGCCTAGTTCCTGCCTATCCACGTTATCTGCTTAGCTCTTGATAACGTGTAGCCTAGTTCCTGCCTATCCACGTTATCTGCTTAGCTCTTGATAACGTGTAGCCTAGTTCCTGCCTATCCACGTTATCTGCTTAGCTCTTGATAACGTGTAAATTTTGGATACTTCGCTAAGATTTCGGACAGCACATCATTATGAATGAAGTACTTACACATTTTTTGGACACTATTGATGGTGTTATCTCTGAATTCCGCAATTTTTTTTCACATTCCAATATATAATGACGTAAAATATGCGAATAGTTCATTTGCTTACTGTAGGTAATGATTTTCTGTGTTTATGTAAATATTTGCAAAACTGTGATACGGCTCGTTTGGTCTAGGTGCGGCCCGTCTTCTCCAGCGTTCTCAGCGGGGGTTATCTTGAGATGATTTCGGGGCTTTAGTGTCCCCGCGGCCCGGTCCTCGACCAGGCCTCCACCCCCAGGAAGCAGCCCGTGACAGTTGACTAACACCCAGGTACCTATTTTTGCTGCTAGGTAACAGGGGCATAGGGTGAAAGAAACTCTGCCCATTGTTTCTCGCCGGCGCCTGGGATCGAACCCGGGACCACAGGATCACAAGTCCAGCGTGCTGTCCGCTCGGCCGACCGGCTCCATTGAGTTGGGTTGAGCTCTGGCTCTTTGGTCCCGCCTCAACTGTCAATGAACTGGTGTACATCACTCAACTTGAGCCTACTACTATGTTACTGGTCAGTTTACATAAGGGAGGGTTAAAAAGCCATTTAATAATGTGAAATTAAAGTCTTGAAATTGCCGATTAACCCTCTTGTATAATGTATAGTGTTTGGTTAGGGTGTGTTTAAACCAGCCCATCCTCTTGTGGCAGTACTTACAGTAACGACGAGGACCATAATATATATACCCACCTACACCCCAATTAGAAAGTAGAAATCTGCACTATTGAGTTGGACAAAACCGAAAACAATTTTTTACTTGTATTTAAAGACAAACTAACCTAACCTAACCTTCCAGGGCCTAATGTACGGTATCTGAGGCCTATTATAGTACATATTTTTATTTTATTTTATTTTATTTTTTTTATTTTATTTATATATATACAAGAAGGTACATTGGGTTTGTGAGAATACATTGGATAGTACAGTATTTACATTCTTGTAAAGCCACTAGTACGCGCAGCGTTTCGGGCAGGTCCTTAATCTAGCAGATAATTTTAAGTAGGTAATTTCAATCGGAATTGATAAATGATAAAGATACATTACAAGAGAAAAATGAGATGAGAGAGATAAGTATATTAAAGCACATTGTTATATTAAAGCTCTTAATTGATTACATTGACAGCTTGATTAGTAATTTAAACAAGGTTAATAGACACCATACAGCAGATTGACAGCACATATAAGACAGCAATGATCACAATGGTAAAGATGTTCAGATTGGGTACATAAAGATTGGGAGACTGGGTAGCAAAAGATACAGATATACAAGATTTATAAACACCATATGTGTGCTATAGTTGGCCTAGGAATATTAAAGTTGTTTTTTTAGCTTAATTTTTTTTAAGAATTCCTTACTAGTGAGTATACTACTATATGAAAGCTAGTCACGTATGGATTCGTGACTATTGACGATCGTTACAATAGGTATTATCTATACAGGAAGATGGGTGTGTTTAAACTGTGTATGTGTTTGGTTAGGGTGTGTTTAAACTGTGTATGCGTTTGGTTAGGGTGTGTTTAAACTGTATGCGTTTGGTTAGGGTGTGTTTAAACTGTGTATGCGTTTTTTTAGGGTGTATTTAAACTGTGTATGTGTTTGGTTAGGGTGTGTTTAAACTGTGTATGTGTTTGGTTAGGGTGTTTAAACTGTGTGTGTTTGGTTAGGGTGTGTTTAAACTGTGTGTTTGGTTAGGGTGTGTTTAAACTGTGTATGTGTTTGGTTAGGGTGTTTAAACTGTGTATGTGTTTGGTTAGGGTGTGTTTAAACTGTGTGCGTTTGGTTAGGGTGTGTTTAAACTGTGTATGTGTTTGGTTAGGGTGTGTTTAAACTGTGTATGTGTTTGGTTAGGGTGTGTTTAAACTGTGTATGTGTTTGGTTAGGGTGTGTTTAAACTGTGTATGTGTTTGGTTAGGGTGTGTTTAAACTGTGTATGTGTTTGGTTAGGGTGTTTAAACTGTGTGTGTTTGGTTAGGGTGTGTTTAAACTGTGTGTTTGGTTAGGGTGTGTTTAAACTGTGTATGTGTTTGGTTAGGGTGTTTAAACTGTGTGTGTGTTTGGTTAGGGTGTGTTTAAACTGTGTATGTGTTTGGTTAGGGTGTGTTTAAACTGTGTATGTGTTTGGTTAGGGTGTGTTTAAACTGTGTATGTGTTTGGTTAGGGTGTTTAAACTGTGTGTGTGTTTGGTTAGGGTGTGTTTAAACTGTGTATGTGTTTGGTTAGGGTGTGTTTAAACTGTGTATGTGTTTGGTTAGGGTGTGTTTAAACTGTGTGTGTTTGGTTAGGGTGTGTTTAAACTGTGTATGTGTTTGGTTAGGGTGTGTTTAAACTGTGTGTGTTTGGTTAGGGTGTGTTTAAACTGTGTATGTGTTTGGTTAGGGTGTTTAAACTGTGTATGTGTTTGGTTAGGGTGTGTTTAAACTGTGTATGTGTTTGGTTAGGGTGTGTTTAAACTGTGTATGCGTTTGGTTAGGGTGTGTTTAAACTGTGTGTGCGTTTTTTTAGGGTGTATTTAAACTGTGTATGCGTTTGGTTAGGGTGTGTTTAAACTGTGTATGTGTTTGGTTAGGGTGTTTAAACTGTGTATGCGTTTGGTTAGGGTGTGTTTAAACTGTGTGTGTTTGGTTAGGGTGTGTTTAAACTGTGTATGTGTTTGGTTAGGGTATGTTTAAACTGTATGTGTTTGGTTAGGGTGTGTTTAAACTGTGTATGCGTTTGGTTAGGGTATGTTTAAACTGTGTGTTTGGTTAGGGTGTGTTTGGTGTATGGGTTAGGGTGTTTAAACTGTGTATGTGTTTGGTTAGGGTGTGTTTAAACTGTGTATGCGTTTGGTTAGGGTGTGTTTAAACTGTGTATGTGTTTGGTTAGGGTGTTTAAACTGTGTATGCGTTTGGTTAGGGTGTGTTTAAACTGTGTATGTGTTTGGTTAGGGTGTGTTTAAACTGTGTATGTGTTTGGTTAGGGTGTTTAAACTGTGTATGTGTTTGGTTAGGGTGTGTTTAAACTGTGTATGCGTTTGGTTAGGGTGTGTTTAAACTGTGTATGCGTTTGGTTAGGGTGTTTAAACTGTGTATGTGTTTGGTTAGGGTGCGTCTAAGCCGCATATTTAAACGGTATTTAGTGTAAGGATGTATTAGCGTTGGTTAGGCTGTGTTAGGTTAGGTTGGGTTAGTTGGGATAGTTTAGGGTGGACAGAATCAGCTGTATTTTCAAAGTTCGTTTGCCAGCGGGGCAGCCAAGGTCAGCAGTGAGATTTTTTTGTTGATCATTGGTAATCCAGCCCCTCCCCCTTCTATCAGTTTACCACTCCGTTAAAAATATAACTGTTGTCCTCGTATCCCAGCTCCTTGTCCTCGTATCCCAGCTCCTTGTCCTCATATCCCAGCTCCTTGTCCTCATATCCCAGCTCCTTGTCCTCGTATCCCAGCTCCTTGTCCTCGTATCCCAGCTCCTTGTCCTCGTATCCCAGCTCCTTGTCCTCGTATCCCAGCTCCTTGTCCTCGTATCCCAGCTCCTTGTCCTCGTATCCCAGCTCCTTGTCCTCGTATCCCAGCTCCTTGTCCTCATATCCCAGCTCCTTGTCCTCGTATCCCAGCTCCTTGTCCTCGTATCCCAGCTCCTTGTCCTCGTATCCCAGCTCCTTGTCCTCGTATCCCAGCTCCTTGTCCTCGTATCCCAGCTCCTTGTCCTCGTATCCCAGCTCCTTGTCCTCGTATCCCAGCTCCTTGTCCTCGTATCCCAGCTCCTTGTCCTCGTATCCCAGCTCCTTGTCCTCATATCCTAGCTCCTTGTCCTCATATCCCAGCTCCTTGTCCCCATAGGCCAGCTCCTTGTCCTCACATCCCAACTCCTTGTCCTTATATCCTAGCTCCTTGTCCCAATATCTCGGTTCCTTCTCTTATCAAAGTTCCTTATCGTCATTTCCCAGTTCCTTATCATTTCCCAGCTCCTTATCGTCATATCCTCCTTATTCCCATATCCCAGCTCCTTGTCCTTATATCCTTTCCAAGTGCTATTTGTACTCGTACTGGCTTAGCACTTTCTCCGGATAATTAACTTACTTTCTTTCTCCCTCATTACCTTTTTATCTCTCTCCTTCCCTACTATTCCCCTTTCTCTCCCCTCATCACTTTATCATTACAACTCTCCCCTCACTCTTCCCCTTCCCACAGGAACGTACCTGTATGCTGGGAGAAAGTGCGTTGCATCTGAGGGCTGGCGTGGTACCTGACCCAGTCCCAGCCGCCCTCCAGGCCCCAGCTGGCGCCCCCGGACGCCCACAGCTCCCCCAGGGGTGTGGGTGGGTGGCACTGCGTAGGGTGGCCTCAGGTAGGCCGTGAGGGAGCCGCGGTAAAGGGCCGCCAATACCACTCCAAACATTCCCCATGATAACATCACCATCTGTTGAAGAAGATAACAAACACCTCATCTGTGACCATGATAGCGACTTCCCCAGTCAAGACAACGTCGTAGTAGCGTTTATTACGTCGCTACAAACGTAGCAATAATATTGCGGTGGGGTACAGGACGGGGTACGGGGTACAGGTGGGGTACAGGACGTCAGTAGTAGTAAATTGTAACAGTATATATATATTGGCTTTTGGTGCGTCACCAGGATATCGGGAGCGCATGTGTTGGTACAGCTGTTGGCGAACATCTGTAACAAGAACATGTGTCGGGGTGAACACCCACCACGACCACAACAGCTCCTGGTAGTACTAGCAATAGTACCTGGTACCTGGTACCTGGGTGAGATGGACGGCTCGGAGAACAACACGCCCCAGGTATCCAGGAAGGCGGAGCTTGGCCGCACGACACGCCCACCGAAGGATCTCGACCACGCCCTCTGTACCGCCCACAGCACTCGAGGACACCAGCTACATTATCCACATCTCGACTGGGAAGTCAAGATGAAACAGGTAAAACCAATTTGTTTATAAGGTGACGGGCCAGACCACAAGGGCACTGGCCCTGTTGCATAGAAATTGTATTATATGATGGAATAGACTACTGTATTGAAATCTATGGTATTTGGTTTTGTAATTTGTAGTATGAAAATGATGCATGGCAATGCGCAACCTTGAACGTCGCTTTTGTAATTTGTAGTATGGTGGGCAAAATGATGCATGGCAATTTCATTTCAAATTACGTCCAAATTTAGCTTTGAATGCTCTCTGGAATTTTTAGGGCTTGTATTGGAAATGCTTAATGCAGTTTAAATTATAAATTACATGCTCGTCAGGTCTGTAAGCAACGACCCTTCTGCAGCAGGAATAGAATGTTGAATCGAAATTAGATATTAGGTTGAAATTGCATAGGAAAACATGAAAGTACAATAATGTGTAAATTTTGGATACTTCGCTAAGATTTCGGGCAGCACATCATTATGAATGAAATACTTACACATTTAACGTGTAAGTAAGTGTAAGTTAAATGTGTAATAATTACACATTTAATGTGTAATTATTCAGCATATCACATTCACACATTCCCTTAAATCAGTATGTTACACTAGTATATATTTCTTTGTACATATACTGATAGTGGACATCCATGATGCTTGATAAGCATTTCGTTAATCGTAAATAAATTCGTTAAACAAATACAACAATTCTCTTGGCTTGATTACTCTAAAAACAATTCTCTGGGATTGATTACTCTTAAAAACGATTCTCTTGGATTGATTACTCTAAAAACAACAATTCTCTTGGCTTGATTACTCTAAAAACAACAATTCTCTTTGCTTAATTACTATAAAAACAACAATTCTCTTTGCTTAATTACTCTAAAAACAACAATTCTCTTGGCTTGATTACTCTAAAAACAACAATTCTCTTTGCTTAATTACTCTAAAAACAACAATTCTCTTTGCTTGATTACTCTAAAAACAATAATGGCTGATCAGTCACCAACAATGACTGATGCCACAGAGAATCCGGGAGGTAATGAATTCGACTCTTAACCCATACACTTCAAAACAAAGTCGACACGACGTTTCGGTCCATCTTGAAAAAGTCGTACGTGTGGGTGAGTTGGGTGTCTAATGTTCACCCACATTATTGCCTTACTGTCTTCGCTAATTAATATAAAGATCTAGATATTGGCAAATGACGGGACATAGCGAATTAAACTGGCGTACAACCTTCCCGTTACGACCTCTTGTCTCTGAAGACAATGAACTAATAGGTAATTAACAGCGTGACTGAAATTTGGAACAGGTAACTAGTCATTTACAGGGACACAACGATGCCACGGGGAAGAGACACTTGCCAAGATACAACACAGGTGTAGCCTCGTGTTCGACTACGGGGGTGTAGCCTCGTGTTCGACTACGGGGGTGTAGCCTCGTGTTCGATTACGGGAGTGTAGCCTCGTGTTCGACTACGGGAGTGTAGCCTCGTGTTCGACTACGGGAGTGTAGCCTCGTGTTCGACTACGGGAGTGTAGCCTCGTGTTCGGCTACGGGGGTGTAGCCTCGTGTTCGGCTACGGGGGTGTAGCCTCGTGTTCGGCTACGGGGGTGTAGCCTCGTGTTCGGCTACGGGAGTGTAGCCTCGTGTTCGGCTACGGGGGTGTAGCCTCGTGTTCGGCTACGGGGGTGTAGCCTCGTGTTCGGCTACGGGGGTGTAGCCTCGTGTTCGGCTACGGGGGTGTAGCCTCGTGTTCGGCTACGGGGGTGTAGCCTCGTGTTCGACTACGGGAGTGTAGCCTCGTGTTCGACTACGGGGGTGTAGCCTCGTGTTCCGGGGGTGTAGCCTCGTGTTCGGCTACGGGGGTGTAGCCTCGTGTTCGGCTACGGGGGTGTAGCCTCGTGTTCGACTACGGGGGTGTAGCCTCGTGTTCGACTACGGGGGTGTAGCCTCGTGTTCGACTACGGGGGTGTAGCCTCGTGTTCGACTACGGGGGTGTAGCCTCGTCTTCGACTACGGGGGTGTAGCCTCGTGTTCGACTACGGGGGTGTAGCCTCGTGTTCGACTACGGGGGTGTAGCCTCGTGTTCGACTACGGGGGTGTAGCCTCGTGTTCGACTACGGGGGTGTAGCCTCGTGTTCGGCTACGGGGGTGTAGCCTCGTGTTCGACTACGGGGGTGTAGCCTCGTGTTCGACTACGGGGGTGTAGCCTCGTGTTCGACTACGGGAGTGTAGCCTCGTGTTCGACTACGGGAGTGTAGCCTCGTGTTCGACTACGGGGGTGTAGCCTCGTGTTCAATAAACTTTTTGATTTCATTCAATTGTCCTAGTTCCTATAGCTGTTACGTTCTGGTAGTTTTAAGGTTCTAATGAGTCAAAACTTTAATATATGCAAAAGCTTAATTGAGGCATGTTGAAGCCTAGCAGCACATTAAGATTCTTTAAAGCGTATGAGAACTTGAGGAGAAAATAATAATTTGCACATTATCAAATGAAACTATTCTAATTCAAAGAAAATTTTGAATAGAAGTGGCTATAGTCAAAACTAATAGTGTTCACTAATTCAATACGTAGCAAATCCAGATAGTGTAAATAAGTTTAAAAAATGCTAAAAGTTAAAATCTTTTGAATAAAATATTTAGGACAATAATTCGTTTATTGGCTCTCGAGTACAGGCTTATTGGAAGTTATAAATATAATATTATCAAATCTACAATTAGATCGTACGAATTCCAATATAGACAGAATAACCTAGAACCGTTTAGATAAACTAAAAGGAAATACATAAGTGACTTCAAGATTTACAAATCACATTGTAATTGTGGGTGTTTAGAAAACCCCCGTTAGTGAATATACGATATACGTAACATACATAACAATACATACGGAGATTGTTATATATCCTGTATACAAAATACATGTTATGTCATTTTTCAGGTACATACCAGTGCTTTGTGTACGGAAAAGGTAAGCAGTTTGATCATTAGAACCGAGAATATAGATAAAAGATGAAGTCTGGTTAGGACTAGTTCAGTGTTGTCATTGACTGGAATTATTCTCAAACAATTGCTCCATGTAGCCTAATTCAGGCCTTGATATAAATATTATTGAAGGATTATATTAAAATGACTTAATTTATTAGGGCAGGTTTAATGATATTTGCAGTAATTTTTTTTAGCGTCTAGCATTCCATATTATGTACTGTATTAAACTTAATATACTGTGTTTTAAATTATACATTTGTTCATTTCTAATATATATTTAATTGTAATGTGAACTTTATTTTCTAATATGATGTTATTTTCTAGCAAATGTGGGTGACGTCACGATGTAAACAGAAGTTGGAGTATATCAGTCATGGCGATTGTTGGAGGTGCACGCTACGTCTCTCCTACAAACATTCACGATTCCTTTGAGGAAGTTGGGAAACCACTGTTGCATGCCACACATTTAGATCATGAACGTCACCCCTGGTCTTAAGAAGAGGATCCAGATGGTTTCTCGGACAGTAAACATCACAGCAAGGCCAACACATTAGAGGCGAAGTGGAGCCATCATACAGAGGTAAAGAGACCATGCCGGCACCACGTGGTCTCTATATCAACATCCACCGCTCAACCAAGGTGGGCCAAGTTCTTCTGATTTGTAAACTTTAATCATTGCTTTTGATGGCGAAGATGGGAGTGTTTTCAGAAATAGCAGGATACAAGTTATCTTATATAATGCCATTCCCAAGATATTAGGGGATCAACGTGTTCGATATCAGACCTAATAAACAAAGGAACTTGATCGCAGTGGATCACAAACACAGCGAAGAACTAGTTTGATATTACCGACATCTATTGATACAAAGTCAAGTGCTACAAACCACTAGGGGGGACCGATTAGCAGAATATGTAATCCGACATGTGGTAGACATCAGTGCAGACGACATAAAGGCACAACTTCAGACGCATGACATTTCAATCTATGGAGTCAAAAAATTTATGCGAAGAACAAACGCAGAACTGAGTGATACAGGCACCGCCCTGCTTACCTTTCTAGACTACATTCCCCCTGATTGGATTTGGTTAAACTGCTTCCTCCATAAACTAGAGGTGTATATACCACGCCTCACTCAGTGTTTTAAATGTAAAGGTTTTAACCATATCTCGAAAGCTGCACCAAAGACATTAAATGTGGGAAATGCTCTGGTTCCCATTACATGCAAGACTGTGCAACAGTTACACTCACCTGCTCAAACTGTGGCGGCGATCATGACATTACATTCAAACAATGTCCTTCATACATAGCATACAACAGCAACAAAAACTAAGGTTCTCCCAACTACCAACCTGCAATACAGTAGTGCATTGAAACAACCTAACTCAGCCCATCATCAACCTCTATCTCGCATTCAACCACAACTATTGCGTTTACCTGATAAGTATCACTGACAATCCCGCACCCCCAGGGTCTAACCATCTCCCACAAAATGCACAACTGATTCCTG